TATTGAAAAATTTTGGATCGCCAAAGTCCGACTTAAGTCCAGGTTTCCAGAGACCCTAAAATATCCTGCGATCCTAATGGGTTTGGTATCAGTTTATTTCCCCCACATTTGTGTTTCGAATACTGAAAACCGCAGGTTGATAGCTGCTTCCGTTCTCGAGATATTCAAAAAATACTCGCGTTCATCGTATTTTGCCGTCGATAGTAGTTGCTACTCCTTTATTTTCTGATTCATCACAAACTTTTTATTATTTCTTCTTAATCAAATAATAGTTAAAGAAAAGAACAAAAAATGACAATATCAGGATCAATCATGACTGTATTGCTCATAAGAAAACTTTTTTTTGTTTGAGAACTGTTTTATTTCACCCTTTTTTATTCAATTTATTTATTTCACGACGTTTTGAAGGGCATATCCTTCTTCGTCGGGTTATAAAAAAAATAAAGATAAAATTGATTTACAAATAAGGAACACACGTATAATTGTATATATATATAAGTACGAAAATTGAACTCTCTCTTTTCTTTTTCTTTTTAATTTTCAATAGTGGAACGAACGTCAACGAGATGGTAACACTGGAACAAAAACAAAATATATTTCCTCTTTTCTTCTTCGTCCGTTCCATTCTTGAAAATGAAAAAGAAAAAAACAAAAGAGAGAGTTGAGTTAATTTTTGTACTTATATATAGAGATACAATTATACATGTATTCCTCATTTGTGAATCAATTTTATCTTTATTTTATTTGTAACAATCTGACGATGAATGACGTGTCCTTCGAAACGTCGTGAAATAAATAAATTGAATAAAAAAGCAAAGAGTAGAATAATTCTCAGATATATATTATGTTCTTTCTACAATCACAAAATAAGAAAAATTATATCTAAGCAATAAGAAACGATACACTAGTCATCTCTCATCTAGCAAAGATAAACAATAAATACATCAAAAGAGGATGCAAACTATTCAATAAATATAAAATTGATTCTTGAAGATACGAATTCTTTTTATTCATCACTTTAATATAAGACTGCAGTATAAAGTGCAAATATACCGCTGCTTATTGACTGGAAACAAATGAACAATAAAATTCGAGATTAAACCTTCGTGATTGTACAGCGATGTAATATTAATGCAGTACTGATTCCATATAATCTCTTTCTCACCTCTCATACTTAAATTTTTAATTATCAACATGATATCTTTGTCTGTTATAATGTACGATATCTATAGAACAATGAAACATTATCTCCTAAAAATGACAAAAAACCGGTACAAAATCGGCCGGTCTCGAAACTTCGACCGGACCGGACCGGCAAACCGGCCAGTCCGCGGTTCCAAGTATGACTCGAAATAGTACTCGAGAAATGGTAAAATTTTGCAAGATCGTTCTCAATAGAATCTGCTGGAGTGATTTGTAAAAATATTTCTTACTTTAGATCTATAGTCTCCAAGTACAAAAAATAAATATTTGTTCTAAAGTGATTTTAGAGGAAAGGCTATGTCAAAAATAAAGAGTATGAACGCCTTAGCATAGACTCCTGTTCACTCAAATTGTGTTAACACAATGTTCTACTTGTACTCTATCGTCACAATTAGTATAAACGTTTCTTAGCTGCACAGAAGATTTTTTTCCAGTTTTCCAAATTCCGAAACATTCTTATCCAACAAAAATGGCATATTTGAAAGGATCAGCACATCAAACTGTGTTGAATGATGCATAGTACAAAATATTTTTCTCGAGAAAATAAGAGCAACGACATCCCTCAGGTTCTTGTTGTCAAAACTTCTTTTTTTAGAAAATGTTTTTTTTCTTAAACGTGATTTTTTGAATGAACAAAAGAAGCTTGTTTCCGAACAAAAAAGTTACATATTCCGCAGTCATGCAAAAAAAACATTCATAATTTTCCGAGACGGAGATAAAAAAAAGTGATCTCATCCATGTCTATATCGAACTTACCTGATTGATCTCGTCGAATGGTCATTTCTTGATCCATGCGACATAGTTGAGCAGAACTATCAGATTCATCTATTGAACTAATAAAATCGATTGCTACCACCAAATCTCACTTCTTTGGATTGTTTAACATCTTAGCTGCACTCGCAATATCTTCAATGATCGTACGAAGATTAGTAGTAGTAGTAGTAGTCATCGTTGTTTCAACTTTTTCCACCAATTTACTCATGCGTTGTGTTGCATTCTATAAAACAAAAAAGAGAAAAATTCAAGATGTTCTTTTAGTAAAAGAATTCATTCGACCAACTAATGTTAACTATGGTTGTTTTTATCTTGTTTGATCATTTCTGTCACTTCTTCTTGTTCATCTTTAATTGATTTCATTGTTTGATAATCAAAACGTTTCTTTTTTGATACACGAAAATGATCTTTTTCACGTGGTGAAATCATCGCTACATCAGATATTTGTGCATCATTACCTATTGGCAATAGGTCCTTCGTGTGGTAATTGCTAGAATCAATGAAAATCTACTGATCTAGTGCACAACAAATTCGAAACTATATACTTGAGCAAGCGGAGGTAATGTATGAATTTGCATCGTCATATTATCTGTACTAACAACTGTTGCTTCTTGAATAAAAATAAGACGAACATTATTAGAAATGAAATCAGTACTGAATAATACGGTTGTGATTGACATTGATCTATTTTGAAAGAAAAGAAGGATCAATAATCGAAATTCTGAAAAAAAAAGACGAATACATAGATTGAATATGTTGTTGATAGCATTGAATAAAAAAGCAAGTGCATCAAAAGAATATTGATCACATGATACTATTAATGAATGTTCAGGTGCAGAAGGTGTTGTATTCACTGGTGTTCATAGGTAATGGAGGTAAATTGGATGAAATCGAACATGGAGGAATGATGTTCATCAATTGTTCGATCATCATTCAAACAAGGATATCGATCAGCTACCTTGATATGTCGATCAACACTTGGTGCTGTAAATAAAATCGAGACAATCAAGATAAAAAAAAATATATATAATAACAAATTATAACAATAAACACCTTGAAATAATTCTTTGTATTGATTTTTGAATGCAGCTCGAAAAAATGTTCGATTAACAATATTCATTGCAGTTATTGGTGATGGTGCTGGTAATAATTCACGAAATCGATCATCAATTATATCATATCAAATTTTGGCAAAGGTTCCTAAAATAAAAACATATTCATTTTTATCTATCAATTTCAAATAATACCTACTTCAATATCAAACAACAAAGTTATATGTTTTTCATGAGTTGACTTACGGGAATATCCATTCCATGGAAGTCGTGGCAAGTTATCCTAAAAATTAAGTGTAATAAAAAGAGAAGAGAGAGAGAGACAACAATAATAACAAACAGATGATTGAATAAATTCTGGTGGTGTTGGTTCTCGAGAAATTTCAATTGAAAAATCTTGTTCAAATAACTTTCTTTCATCAGGTAAATAAATTTTCATCAGTTTCAATTTGCCACTGAACACCAGATAAGATCATTTCTTTTTTACAAAGTATTTTTAATTTACTTAGAGCATCAAATTGAAAAAAAATCTTTAAAGAAAACAAAAATAATCTTTTTTCTTTTCATTATCAACAAAAACTTTTTCCTTACCGATGTACAACTGCATTTTTAAAAGTGTTTCAACATCATCTATAAATTTATAATAAATAGAAAAAAAATAGAGATTAAAAAACAATACTTACGATGCCATAAAAATACAGCTTTAGCATAGACATAGACAAGACCAAGCATGAGATGAATATCAAGTATAAGAAACAGTAATGAACGGGGGTGATGATTCTTTTATTTGACATAGGAAACTATGTCTTTGCTATTAGATTTTTATGTAATTCAAAAGAAAAATATAAAATAAGAGAAATTACTAAATATTTTTAAAGGTAGCTGAACCAATGAGTGTTTTTGTAATCAGACGTTGTTGGCTTGCACAGTTCCTACGATAGAAGAGAATCTAGTAAGGCAAAAAAAAGCGAAAGTAGTATTTTGTTTTTTACACCACAGAACTTAAAGTGATCGACTATGAGCAAAGACGTTTTGTGTTTTTTTCTTTTCTATTGGAGTCATGATCAATAATGATGACGACGATGTACTACTACTACTACTTGTGACGAAAACGATAGTAGAAGTGCCAATGTAAGAGGGCAACCACTTTATTGGAGCTTCTTCATATCACAAATCGTGCCTTTCTCATATAGAGCAAGTGCTTATATAGGGAACAGAAAAGAAAACGAACTAAACGAGAGAAAAGAAAGAAGGATGAGAGCAAGAGAAATGTGCGATTATCGTTTTCCTACTGTCCTTCGATACTGATGAAAATAGATATAGATTGATCTCTTTTTCCTGTTTTCGAATTCTAGTCGTTCTCTTTTGAATATGTAAGAATATCCGTCGGTTATTACAAGACGATGAATAAACAAATAAGAAGAAAAAGAAATGTTGTCACATAACTATTACTAAATCATAAGATGTTATATAAAGAATAATACCCTCAGTATTTTATAGATATTTCTATTAAATTACTTTCAACAACAACGTCAGAAACATTAATAATCAAGTAAATAATTGGATTTTTTTCTGTTTTTCATTTTGCTTTTATCTCTTATCGAATGTTTTTTTTCATTTACAGGTAACAATGAAAATTATTTTCAATCAGTTACAGCTGGTGCGCAGATATTATTTACAACATCTGATGAAAATGATTATGATGTACAATCAGCTGTTGAAGAAAATCTTAATAAATTTTTTAAAGTATTTTTTAAAAAATTCTTCTTTTTCTATAATTTTTGATGAATTATAAAATAGAATTTGAAAGAAGCAAATTTAATAAGAATTCAAACTGAATTACATCGAATTATAAAATTTAATCCAAATGTTAGATCAAGAACTTTATAAGGTTATTTTTATTGTTTGACTTAAATTTATAATAAGGTTTGTTTTTTTTTAATTTCAATTAGGTGCTCTATGGCGATTTGCCGAATTAGCAAATGTAATACATCGGAAAAAGATTCAACCATTTTATCAGAATATTATGAACTTATTTTTTGTATTCTTGGTCGATCGATTAATGATAAAGAAATCAAAGTAAGTAAAAAACAAGAAACTTTGACATCTAAGACAAGTCTTCTAAAGAAGTAATCAGAAAAATGTCATGCGATTGAATGGAAACATAGAAAAGGATTGTTAGAGTTAATCGATAACTTCTGAGCCTGTGTTTCGATTAAAACTTCAAGCAGGAGAGGATGCTTTTCAGATAATGTAGAATAGGTAGTCTGATACTATTTGACGAAATACGAACTGAGAAACTGTCCGTTATTTATAGCAATCTGCTCTCGAAAGTAATCGAGCTTAAAATTTCATGCAACTTAAGAAAAAAATGATTTTATTTATCATTAAATTTCAATGAGAAATTAAATAATTTAGTTATAGTAGTTCAGTAATTATCATTATAGTTGAAGTATGAAGTCGAATTAAACTATTCTTAGGAACTGCTTATGACCGATTTGGCAAATGCGTCTCATGAATCTGCACTTATTCTTCGTTCATCAATTGCTTCTCTTGTTATTATTACTCGTTATTCTCGTTATCCTATGGTTATAGCACGTTTTCTAATGACAAATGCAATTAGTAAGTTTTCTTTTCAAATAATAATTTCGATTCATTATAATTTTCTTTTATTTTAATAGATCAATTACTTGAACATTATAATCAAAATGATAGTACACGTTTAATAGTTGGTTATCCTGGTTTAATAAAAAATCTTATTCAATTACTTGGTTTAAATATTTAAGAATTTCAATCATTATCAAGAAACAGTCAACAACAAATAAATACAAGTAAAAAAAAACATTGATACATATGAACAACATCTTTCAATCAGTATTCAACACAATGAATGATTTTAATTTCAATGTAAATCTTTTTTTAGTGTGTTGATATAATATGATATGTTATATTTGTTTACAACACAATGATCATAATGTTGTATCAAGTTCATTAGAGAGACTTGAAATTATACTTAAACTTTCAAATTTATTTGATTTTGATCAATTATTAATTTCAACTCAAATTGGATCTGTAGAAGAAACTTGTGTTAGTCAAACATTACAAACAGGTAAATATTGAGAAAAGAAAAACAAGACTTTTATTTGTGTTTTTTTTTCTAAAACAATAGTTTATTCAACATATCAACGTTCGTTTATTGAAATTAATGAAGAATATAATATTTTACTAAATAAAATGAATGATGAATTCGATTCAACACAAATGATTAATAATGAAAAACGAACATCAGCTGCTAAACTTGTTAATCAATTATATTTTTTTCCGATTAGATATATACTCAAAATGAATGGCACGATAAAAAGTGATGACGAATCACGTATTAATGTTAAATGTGCTATACCAACATGTCTCATATTTATCAAGAATTTGGTCAATTTGATTATCCTACTGAAAGTATGTTTAATTCTTGTTTGAGTGTTTTTTGTAAAGTTTCAGTTCAGTGAAATAGATGTATTTTATAATTTTGAAATTATTTTCAATGTTGAAACAGTGTATAAAAATGAATGTTAGCTATGCTTTTGGTTGAAAGTACTTTTCTGACTATGAAGAATACTTGTAAACTAGTGGCATAACGAGGATTGTAACAGTAGGAAGGCCCATATGAATGGGATTAATCTGATGAAGGAGCTTGTAACACAGTTTAATTGATGTCGCTTCAATTGGTTAAGGTCTCAAAACAATATGAAACATGTATACTAGAATGTGAAAATTCAAGAAAGAAGATTTCTCGATATTGATTGAGCAGTTCTGGTCATATTCCTACTTTTAGTTTTTTTCAAACCGACAAAAGACTAGAACATTATCAGACTTGAAGAGATATCAAGTAGTACACTTTATTGAATAGAATAGACATACAAAAATTTTTGAACTTCATAAGCTGCATTTATAGTTACATCTGTACGTCAGAGATTGAAATTATGCAATCACACAATTACATCGAAAAAAGTTCTAAGCTGAAGTACAAGTTCTTTACATATTTAGTACGAAAGAGATGTTCGTCTTTTTCATTATGATATGAAACTAATTGTGTCCACTAAGGAATTTTTTCTTTAGTCTTTGAAGATTTCTGAAAAAATATGTTTTTGTAATTGACATGAAATTCTCATCTCTATGCGACTTGTAATAATTACATTAAAATCTATCAAACATCTATATGTTTTTTTTCTTTTGTTTAAGGTATTACATCTTTTATCTTTACGTGAACATGGTGATCTACATTTACATGATGCATGTGTAAATATTACTTGCTACATTAGTTCAAACAACAATTCACCTTTTAACACCATCATCATTATAAAATTCCTTTATTAATCAAGATTCACTTGTATCACTGATTCACAAGACAGTTCAAGGTTAGATTCGAATATTTATCGTCTCTTACTTTTTATAAAAATATTTTCTTTTGTTTTTAAAGATGTTCAATTATGTATATTAGCTGAATTACTTTCTACATTTCGATTATGTCTGAATGATAATGATGCACGTGTTATACATGTTTTATTCAATGTTTTACGAAAATTATTAACTTTTTTATTAATTTCAAGCTCATATATTTACAATCATAGGAATTGAATGATTAGAAGATGCTGTTCGACATAGTATAAGCTCATATATGGTTGCTAAGGTAGATAAAAGAAATTTATACTTATAATAACTTTTTTTGTGTGTTTATATAAAATAGGTTGCTCTAGCTCAATTTATAAATGATATTGATTTTCAAATATTAACTTATCTTGAACAACAACAATAATTAAGACAAAAGTACCCTGATATACGTGTTTGTCCAGCAAATACTTCGACTTTTGCTAAGTATGTGTTTTGTAGAGATATCATCTAGGAAAATTTTTTTTTCGCAGTTGCATGCATAGGTCGATTTTAATGCATTAAGTTAGTTATTAACTAGTTTTTTAATTCTTAGGTTTTAATGATCACAATTCATTTTTATCATGTTAATGGATATGTAAAATTCATCCTTTATTACAATAATTAAATACTTCTGTAATAATATCAAATGATCAAGTAAAATATGAAATAATATCATGTTTATCAACATTAATATTTAATCGTTTAGCTCAAGCATCAATTCGAATACAAAAAATTATTTGTTATTTTTGTCTTTTATATCAGTATTATGTTAAGAAGGTACTTATTCTCTTATAATAGTTTTAAGATCAATAATAATACGACCATTTTTTCTTAATCAATATGATGAACTTCGTTTATTCATACATATTTTTAAACATTCATTTATATTACATGATCTTAATAATTTATAACTATTACTCGATATTATTAATTTAATCTTTGGAAGTAAAAAGAAAAAAAAAGATTTTTATTTAAAGATTTAATCAAATCTCAACAAGTGAAAAAATGTTTCGAAAGTAGAACAAATGATTCAAGTAATTCGAAAATTGAATTATGTTAGTAGCGTTCTCGAATTATTGCAAAAATCTTCACAATCATCAATTTTTTGGGCAAAAGATAATTTCCTACAGTTGATATTTCAGTTTTCATTAAGAAAAGGAGTTTCAATGTTTTTTTTATTTGAAGAATATCTGATACAATAGTTAATTGTAGAAAATTAGGTACTTTTGGAAATAATTCATCAATGATGAAATTATTCGAATTAATACGTTCATCATATCAATTAATCATTTCGAAGAATTTTTTTCAACAACATTGTTATCTACAAAATCAGTTTAAGTCTTATTTCTAATTATATAAAATTTATCAAAAAAATTGAAATCAATATTCAATGTACACAAGAGGTAACTTCTTTTAAATAGTAAATATTTATTGTGAAGAAAATTTCAATTATTACTCTTTAAAGAATGTCAAATATCGATGATCTTAGGGAGAGTAGTTTGTTGTGAAAGTGTTAGATCTTTTTCATTTGGTTCTTTGTTGAAAGCCGAATGTTAAACTAGTTGATTGATGTGAACGATCTGCAAGATATACTATTACCAAAATTGTATCTTAGGATAGAAACAGCAAAAAAGTATGAAAATCAATTAATGTTGTTATCACAACATTAATTTAAAAAAACTCTTTTAATTTAGTCTGTATTAAATATTCGTCAACAAGCAATCGTTTTATCATCATCTACTGTAACAAAATCTGCAAATATTTCTTCGCAAGTATCATTAAGTAATTCTTTAACTTATATTCATACAATAAGTGTTTGATAACCGATAATTTATTTTATTTGGTTCACGTCATACATCAAATATATTGTCTATTGTACAATTTTTATTAACTAAAAAATTAGTCTTAAACAATATATTAATACAAATGAAAGTGATTTACAAGCTGTTGTAGTTGATTTACTTGTTCAATTACTTTTAATTCGTGTTAATTATAGTTGATTAGATACTGGTGAATTTCGTTATATTGCTAATCATTTTCGTTTAGCATTTTCTTACTCATATAATCTATGAGCTTGAAATAATTGAAGAAACTATAGCAGGTTATGACGTGTTATCACATGATATACTTCATTCAAAACAAGTTATTAAATTACAAGATTTATTAAAAAATTGTGATGAATTATTAGCAACTGGACATGAGCGTGACACTTATGGTAGGAAGCAAAAAACAATTTTTTGAGAAAAATAAATTATCGTGAAAATTCTTTATTCAGCTTTAGCAGTATTAGAATCAGTTGTATATGATTCTTTTTTCTTGTTCGAGTTAACACAGATAATACAGAATTAGAATCATAACGAATGATGATTGTTCACATTTTTCTTAAACTTGTTCGATATAAGAAATAGGATGTGCTGGCACAATTTTTCTCTTCAATTGAACCTATACTCATACTTCAATGAATCAATGATCTGAAAATAGTCATCTTGTTGATGCTCAGAACTGAAGAAGATTTCGAGACAGTAATCTTCAGTTATGTATTTGATAAAAGATACCACAATAAAAAGTTTAAAGGAAAACTATATATTTTCATATCTTCTGTATGTACTGAAATAAAACAATCATAGAATTTATGATTGTTAACAATGTTTGTTAAGAATGTTTGAACTGAAAATGATAAATGGAAACATCTTTCACGACAAATTTTCAAAAAAAACTTCTTACTCATTTACAATTACATGTTACTATAGGATCAATTGCTTTTGGATATTTATTTCATACTATTAACACTATTAATGTTATATCATCAGTTGAATTACGAAAAATTGATCCATTTGTTGTTGCTTTTGAAACATAGTAAATAGAAATGTTTGTTGTTTTTATTTATGAAATTTTCCTGTACTTTAAAAATTTATTTTAGAATATCAAATTATCAATCTATAAATCGATGGTTAATCAATATAAATATGATATTTCAATATCTTCTACAAAGTTTAACTGAAGATGCTATATTAACACGATAGAATGAAATTTTATCACTAGTTAATGGAACACGAGATGAAACGTTTAGCCTGTAAGTATTCGAAAGAATTTTATTCGTAATTTAAAAATTATTATTCTCGTTTTTATTTTTAGAATTCTTCGTCGAATTCTAACTAATACTTACCAGTTACGTGATCAACTCGATCTGACATTAGTTTCTCTTGCATTCGATTATCTTCATGTAATTATGCATATTATGGTAAATAGTAATCAGTCAAAATAATAGTATATGTATAGACATGAATACGATAGTCCAGCAATTATGATTGATTTAAAAATTTAGGTTTGAAACTTTAGGAAAAAGAAACTAACTGAACAGATAAAAACTGATTTCTATCAAAGTCAAAAGACCCTAAACTTTGATCATAATCTATATGATAGTAAAATATCATCCATTAATTTGAAGACAAAACTTTCCTGCAATTCATTAATTCCTAATGAGTTGGCGAGAAACATTTTACTTTAAAATTTCTATGCTTTTATAAGATCTATGATTTTATTTTAGCTAAACAATTTCGAACAATGATAAATGATTTTCGTCAATTATGAATTCATGATAAGACTGTACATCATCTTGATACATTCTTATATTTAAATATTTTAAGTGAATATTTTAATTTATTATTATTAAAATGAATACATATTCTTAATATGCTTGATTATATATAAGAAGCATGATGGTCATCAATATTAACATTATCATCATTAATAATACATAATCAATTATTCTTTTTATTTGAACAACGTGATATTTGTACATGTTTTTCATGATTTCGTACATCATATATAAGTTGCAAATCATTTATTCGTTTATGAAGGAATACATTTAGATGAAAATGGTCTTGTATTAGTTTTGTTAATTGAACAATTTATTCCATTATCATATATGTCTGTATTAGATTTAGCTGAATTAATTGTTTATGATCATATTGAAATCATGTTAATACTTGACCACCAAACATTAAATAAATAGTTATTATCTAAATATTTACCATTAATTTTATAAATATTATCAATAACAATATCAATCGATATTATTAAAGAAGATTTTAATAATTTTACTTATCATATAGATATAAAATTTATACAAAACTACTTAACTTGTAAAAAATTGTAAAAATTATTACCATTTATAATATCATCGGTATGTTTTAGTTTAATTTATAGAAATAAATAAATATATATGTATTATAAAAATTTCATTCTAATTACAAGAAAAATATTTATTTTATTTTGACATCGTTTATGTGTTAGTAATATATGAGATTTTTGAATAATTCAAAAATTTGAAAAGTATTCTGAAATATAAAACTAGTAAATCTACTGTGCTTATTTATAATTTCTAATATTATGAAATGATAAATGAACAAAAATAATCATAANAAAAGATTTAGAAATATCAATTAAAATGCTAGAAGAAGCATGTAAAGCATATGGGATGAAAGTTAATGCAAAGAAAACTAAGGTAATGAGCGTAAGAAGTGAAGAAAATATTGTATTACATGTAGATGGTGTAAGAGTGGACCAGGTTAGCAACTTTAAATATTTAAGTAGTTTCTTAACAGAAAATTGGAGATGTGAAAAGGATGTGAAGGCAAGAATAGCGATTGCAAAGGAAGCGTTTACAAGGATGAAAAGGATTTTGTGTGGATCTTTAGAATTAGAATTAAGAAAGAGATTAGGGAAGTGTTTTGTTTGGAGTGTGCTCTTGTATGGTGCTGAAACTTGGACATTGAGGGAGTACGAAAAGAAAAAGTTAGAGGCTTTCGAAATGTGGATGTGGAGAAGAATGTTAAAGATAAGTTTGAAGGATAAAGTGAGTAATGTAAAGGTTTTGGAAAGAATAGGAGAAACAAGGACTCTGATGGAAAGAATAAGAATAAGGAAAAGAAATTGGATAGGCCATGCACTTGGTGGAGATAGCTTACTAAAAGACATCATCGAAGGAACAGTAAGTGGTAAAAGAAAGAGAGGGAGAAAGAGGATGAAAATGCTAGATGACTTAAAAAAGGAAGGTGGGTATGTGTACCTTAAAAGACTTGCCAGCGATAGGGAAGAATGGAGGAAACTATAAGATCTAAAGTTATAACTGTTATCCTAAGAATCTGCTTAAGAGCAGAAAACTTATGATTATGATGGTTACCACGTTTCAGTGCTCATTTTGAAGAATTAGAAAATTGTTGGTCGAGAATATTATCTGCAGGTATTATAAAAGAAAATCTTCAAATATTAATTGTATTAAAATGAATATCTATTTTACTTATTTTAGTTAACGAATATCGAACAATGATGTCAATTTGAACAAGCATTCATAGTGTGTGGGTGTAGATGTTGTTTGAATGTGTTGATGGATCATATACTCTCTCTTGTTAATACTCATACTCTCAATAAAGACTAAAAATATCGATTCATAAAATGAAAATATATGAATAGGAATTCATTGATCTACTTTTTTTTTTACTAGAATTGCTCTCTCTTTTAATAATCATATCTAGATTGTCATTAAATTTTAGTTGCATATACTAATACAAAATAGGTTAAGTAAAATACCTCTAGTGAACGTTATTATTGTTTGCAAAAGATAATCAATTTCCATGAAAACCATCCGTCACACTTATTTTGTGCAATTGTGCTCTAATTTCTCTTTCGCTTGTTCATTTGTATTTCATATTGTATGTTTGATAATGATTTCAACCATTTTAGTTTCAAGGAAGGTTTTAAAATGTTGTCGAATAGTCTAAATCTGGTTGATGATGTCATTCAATGCCTTTTCTATTGCCATTCTTCCTCTTTTTTACTATGAAAATCATGCCGCTGAAGTCGAAGAGAAAGTTGCATAAATCTGGATTAAAACTTGTATTTATAACCAGTACTCCTTGCTTCGTTTTGGTTTAGTGCATTATTAGTAAAAGCACCGACTATATTTCATTCTTCTGCACTGTTTTCTGAAAATTCATTGAAAATGATAAATTCAAAAAGTCTCGCACTACAATCGTTTCTCTTTATTCAAATAACAATTCTTTTTTTCTTGGCTTATTATTAGTACTTTTTATTATTTTGTTATCAATACAACAAAAAATTTTATAATAAAGAAAAAAAATGTTCATTTTCTAAATACAAACAACATTTGACGATAACTATCAGAAAGGAAATCAAAAAAACTTCCACAGATTCGAGTTCAATTCGGTGCCTGACAAGCATGGTATTTGTCCTGCAAAGTTATTTTAGATTTTTAATTTATGAGAATTTATTTATGAAAATCATAAACTTTGATAAGTTAAAACTCAACAATACAATCATCAAAATATATGACTTCAGAAAAAATAGATCATAAATAAAGAAAATTTGATCATTACTATAGAATATTCTGTAAGCAAGTGGTTGCATCGTGTTCCTGTTACATTCTAAAGATATTAAAAGACTTGTACACACACCCAGGTTAAACAAGCAGACGGTAAGATCTTACAAGATAGAATACTTCAAACATATTTAGATTTAATTTTAAATTTCTTTCTGGATTTGGTAAATTTTTATAAATGTAAACTGATTGCACATCGTTTGATAATCGCAGATAACATCACAACTTTACAAGAATGACTATATCTTAGTTAATCATTTTTTCTCATGCGTTTGTCTATATTTATGCCCAATCCTGTTCTATTTTCATTACTGAAAATAGGAAAGACGATTAGCAGCTTATGAATGAGCTGATGACACGAAAGATGTTTGTATTCTTCAGAACGTTTTTTCTCACAATCTACTTTCACAATTTAAACTTTGTGTTCTAACTTTGTGTAGATGTAACCAAACAAAATAAAGAAATCTTTTCTTGTATAATTTAATTTGAACAAAAGTATATACAATAAGGTGTGGATTTCTGGTTCATCTACCAATTCACAGACGTTGTTCTCTATGAATTATGATTAGAATGGAAACAATCTAAAACAAATGTAGTTTTCGAAATTTTGTTCCTCTGTTTTTTAATTGATTCTAGTTATTCTAAATTCAGTCAGAACTGATTTTGAGCAAGNAAATCGGCGATTTATCGTGAATTATCATGCCGATTAATTGTGAGATTATATCGCGATAAAGGGTGTGGGTGTGGGTGTGGGTGGGTGGGTGTGGGTGGGTGTGGACGAAGAGAAAAACCAACACTCAAACCCACACCCACCCACACACCCACACCCACATCCACCCACACTCACACACCCACACCTACACACACCCACACCCTTGTTCATTTGTATTTCATATTGTCTGTTTTCTTATGATTTCAGCCATTGAAGTTTCAAGAAAAATTTTAAAATGTTTTCGAAGTCTAAAGCTGGTTGATGATGTCATTCAATGACTTTTTTATTGCCATTCTTCCTCTTTTTACTAGGAAAATCATGCCGCTGAAGTCGAAGAGAAAGCTGCCCAAATCTGAACTAATACTTGCATTTATAACCAGTACTTCTTGCATCGTTTTGGTTTAGTACATTATTAGTAAAAGCATCGACCACATTTCATTCTATTGCACTGTTTTCTGAAAATCCATTGAAAATGAAAAAATGAAAAAATTCTCGAACTACAATTGTCTTTTTTTATTCAAATAACAATTCTTTTTTCTTGATTTATTATTCGTCCTTTTTAATTATTTTGTTATCAATACAACAAAAAATTTCATAATAAAGAAAAAAAATTGTTCATTTTCTAAATACAAACAGTATTTAATGATAACTATCAGAAAAGAAATAAAAAAAGCTTCCACAGTTTCGAGTTCAGCTCGGTACCTGACAGGCATGGTATTGTTCTGTAAAGTTATTTTAGATTTTTAATTTATGAGAATTTGTTTATGAAAATCATAAACTTTGATAAGTCAAAACTCAACAATACAATCATCAAGAAACATGAATTCAAAAAAAATAGATCATAAATAACGAAAATCCGATCATTACTATCGAATATTCTGTAAGATAATGGTCACAACGTGTTCTTGTTACATTCTAAATATATTAAAAGACTTGTAGACACACTCAGGTTAAACAAGCAGACGGTAAGATCTTACAAGATAGAATACTTCAAATATATTTAGATTTAATTTTAAATTTCTTTCTGGATTCGATAAATTTCTATAAATGTAAACTGATTGCACATCGAATGATAATCGCATATAACATTACAACTTTACAAAAAATGATTATATCTTAACTAATCATTTTTTTTTCACGTGTTTGTCTATATTTATGCCCAATCCTGTTTCATTTCCATTACTGAGAATAGGAAAGACGATTAGCAACTTATGAACGAGCTGATGACACGAAATATGGTTGTATTCTTCAGAAGGTTTTTTCCCACAATCTACTTTCGCAATTTAAACATTGTGTTCTAACTTTGTGTAGATGTAACCAAACAAAATAAAGAAATCTTCCGGGGAGCTCTGGCCGAATGGGGTACGTCTCTGACTCTAACTAGAGCGTACGAGGTTCGATTCCTCCTCCCCGAACAAGCACCCAGTCTTAAAAACATATTGTACAAGCTTATTGGCTTTAATCTTATCGTACAAGCAATTTGTTTAGACACATCGTATATTATCTCGTTGGAATGTATGTGCACGTTGGAAGGTCGTGTTTCAATGTTTCGTTGAATGGCCACATAAAANCGCTCTGAGCTGCTTGGTTACCATCCCACTTGAAATAACAGCAGCTGGCCTCATAATAAACTATTGGACAACATCCATTAATATTGGCGTGTGGATCACTATTTTCCTTGTTACACTTTTCATTATAAATCTCTTTGGTATTCGAGGCTACGGTGAAGTTGAATTCTATTTGTCTATTATTAAAGTGATCGCTATTCTCGGATTCATAGTTCTCGGCATTGTTCTTGTAACAGGAGGTGGTCCAAATCACCAGTATCTAGGCGGAAAATATTGGCATAATCCCGGTGCGTTTGCTAACGGATTTAAAGGAGTGTGTTCCGTCTTTGTCACTGCCGCTTTTGCTTTTTCGGGCACGGAAATGGTTGGATTGGCAGCAGCCGAAGCGGCCAATCCTCGAAAGACCATTCCTCGAGCAACAAAGCAAGTATTTTGGAGGATAACGCTTTTCTATATTGTATCATTGACACTTATCGGTTGTTTGGTGCCTTATACTTCTCCACGTCTTCTCAATGGATCATCAAGCTATGACGCATCCGCGTCACCTTTCGTGATTGCTATTGAAGATGCAGGCATCAAAGTATTACCTTCTATATTCAATGCAGTCATTCTTTGTGCTGTACTCTCAGTAGGCAATTCATCTGTCTATGGAGCATCTCGGACACTGTGTGCACTTGCTGAATGTGGTCAAGCTCCGAAAATATTCGCTTATGTCGATCGTAAAGGTCGTCCGCTCTCCTCTGTCGCTCTCTCTATGCTTTTAGGATTGATCGCTTATATCAATTGTGCGAAAGTAGGTCCTGCGGTATTTAATTGGCTAGTCGCTCTCTCTGGTTTGTCTTCATTTTTCACGTGGGGTTCCATATGTGCATGCCACATTATGTTCCGATGGGCGTGGAAGGCGCAAGGTCATACTTTGGACGAGCTAGCCTTTTTAGCACCTCTTGGTATCTGGGGAAGTCTTTTAGGTCTTCTTCTCAACATCTTATGCCCCATCGCTCAATTCTATATAGCTATGTTTCCTCAAGGTGCTCATCCAAGTGCCCAGGCATTCTTTCAAGCTTACTTTGCTGTCCCTTTTGTTATTATCTTCTATGTCGTATGGAAAATATGGAAGAGACCACCATTTATGCGACCTAGTACTATAGATCTCGTCAGCGGAAGACGTTTACTTGACACACAAGAGGTTATTGCCGAAGAAAGAGCTGAGCGAATGACTTGGCCTGTATGGAAAAGAGTGTATTTTATGTTCTGCTAGGCTGTTTACCATTATATATTGACTTTGTTTGATACATACTGTAGTTGGCAATACCATAGAAAGAATAATCGTCTTCATCACTCCTTGAAATTGTTTCGCGCATATTTGATTAGCAATCATGACAAACTATTTATAATTCATTCATTTATTCGAATATAGACAATGAGTTTCGGTCAATGATTCTTTGGTAACGATTTGACTTGAAATTCGCATAATGCGTTATGAAGTATACTGATTGGCATCTGATGATTCTAAGCTAGATTAAGGATGTGGGTGTGAGTGTGAGGTGTGAGTATGAACGCAAGTGTACACGGGATTACTAACATTATTTTCCAACGTATACTGGCACCTACACCCTTAAAAGAAAATGTCAATTATCTAACTAATGTTCATTGAGAAGGAAAACAGTGGATGAGTATTTTTTTAATAACTATTGATAGAACCTTGGTAAAAGACTGATCCAGCGCATCAATTCATATGTAATTGTTTAGATTAATCTCTTAAGTAAATAATGAAATTTGTTCATCTTGACAGAGTAGACTGTTGCTCTATGAAGATAGAACAAACATAAAAGTTTGACGAATGAAATCGATAGCTGATAACCCGCAAAACTATACACAAGGTTAGGTTTAAATCTTCATTGTTTTTGGAGTTCTATGTATTATATTAGACAATTCTAATCCACTTTACCAATAATTTCTGAAAAAATGCTCAGTTTGTTACGTTTTTTTTCATTTTGTCTTGCAAAAAATCACACCTGTTTTTAGGCATTTCTTCGTTCATCTTTTGTAAAAGGGTCAAAAAGTCTAAGTTAAAAGTAATTGTTTTATATAGTTTGATGCATTTTTACCAAGTTCCTATTCAAAAATAACCCATCCGCTTTTTTTTAGATGGGTATTACAAGCAACGAAATGAAGCTAAACGCATACGAAAAAGATGTCTGATCACCAAGCGTGTAAATTAGGGAATGAGGCAAAGGCAGATGCGGAATTATATCGTTGAATCATCTTCGAAGGTAGCCTTGGATGGACAGAATTTAGAGGATGAAAACATGATAAATATTGTGAAAGGGACGATGGTTGACAAACAATGCAAAGAGCTCATGTTACATCATAATACGATAGAATCACATGGTGTCACAATTATACGCAAAACATTGTCAGATAACTATCTATTGGATATGTTGAATCTTTGGGGCAATTATGTGTCTGACATGGGTGTACATGCTCTAGCACAGCCACTCTCGCTGAATAATAATAATCTAAGTAGATTTGGTCTTGGCGAAAATGATATAACAGATAAAGGTGCAAACTATCCAGCTGATGTGCTCAATGGTGTGTGTGAGTGTGGGTGTGGAACTTCTTTTCTCTCACCCACACCCACACACCCTCAAGGAATCTTGTCTGATAACTAAGAAAAATAAGAATCTGGCAAGAAGTGAGGCAAGATCGTCGATTAGTGATGTAGATTGTCATTAAGTTTTAGTTGCATATTCAAATACAAAGTAGGTTAAGTAAAATATCTCTGGTGAATGTTATTATTGTTAGTAAAAGATAATCAATTTTTATGAAAACCATTAGTCTCATTTATTTTTGTGCCATTGTGCTCCAATTTCTCTTTGATGTGTTCATTTGTATTTCAAAATATCTGTTTGCTTATGATTTCAGTCATTGAAATTTCAAGAAAAATTTTAAGATGTTTTCGAACAGTCTAAATTTTTGTTGATGATATCATTCAATGCCCTTTTCTATTGCCATTCTTTTTCTTTTTACTAGGAAAATCATGCCGCTGAAATCGAAGAGAAAGTTACATAAAATTGGATTAAAACTTGTATTCACAATCAGTCCTTGCATCATTTTAGTTTGGTACACTATTCATAAAACCATAGATCATATTTCATTCTGCTGCACTACTTTTCTGAAACATCATTGAAAATGTTAAATGCAAAAAGTCTCGCACTACAATTATTTCTCTTTATTCACATAACAAATCCTTTTTCTTGATTTATTATTGGTACTTTTTATTATTTTGTTATCAATACAACAAAAAATTTGTTCATTTTCTAAATACAAACAGTATTTAAGGATAACTATTAGAAAACGAATAAAAAAGAACTTCTATAGGTTCAAGTTCAGTTCGGTGCCTGACAGGCATGGTATTGTTCTGTAAAATTATTTTAGATTTTTAATGTATAAGAATTTGTTTATGAAAATCATAAAATTTGATCTGTCAAAACACAATAATACAATCATCAAGAAACAGGATTTTGGAAAAAAAGATCATAAATAACGAAAATCCGAACATTATTATCGAATATTCTGTAAGTAAATGGTCACAACGTGTTCTTGTTACATTCTAAAGATATTTAAAGACTTGTACGCACACTCAGATTAAGGAAGCAGACGGTAAGATCTTACAAGATAGAATACTTCCAATAGATTTAATTTTAAATTTCTTTCTGGATTCGATAGATTTTTATAAATGTAAACTGATTGCACATTGAATGATAATCGCATGTAACATTAAAATTTCACAAAACTGATTATATCTTAACTAATCATTTTTTCACGTGTAGATGTAACCAAACAAAATAAAGAAATCTTTTCTTGTATAATTTAATTTCAACAAAAGTATGTACAATAAGGTGTGGATTAATGGTTCATCTACTAATTTACAGACGTTGTTGTCTATTAATTATGATTGGAATGGAGACGATGTAAAACAAATGTAGTTTTCGAAATTTTGTTTTTCTGTTTTTTAATTGATTCTAGTTATTCTAAATTCAGTCAGAAGTGATTTTGAACAAGTCAAATGATTGAATTTATAGATGAACTTTAATTCTCAGAGAATAACATAAGTTATCGTTATGTTCTTCACCCTTTTCTCTAGGAAAAGTCTTTCTTCTTTTTAATTTTCCGACTTATATTCATCGCTAAAAACTATATTGAATATAAATTTTCCAAAAGTTATTCAAAAGAAAATAATGTCATTAGTATTTTTTTAAAAATATTCGCTACCCAACGAAACATTTCAACACAATGTAATATTTATGAACAAATTTTTTGATCGCTAGTAAAATTATCGATAAAAAATCTTGAACAAACTGTTTAAATTTGTCTGAAAAGTCGAGATTTTTATAAGTTTTCTCTTATATTAAGATGAATTCAATGAATGATAAAGTTAATTTTGTCAACTGTTATCTTTTTCTTTTGATATCGAATATGATTGTTGTTACCCTTTTCAAAGAACTATTGTCATTGATCAATTATCTTTTTTGCTTAAAAAAAAGCATCAAATTTTGATAGAATTCGATATTGATATCTTCGAAGTAAATCATCGAATGTTGAGAGAGTTACAAATCTTTCACATTGATGTGATTATCTATAAATGACTGAGTCTAGTTGTTTGATCTGCCTCTTTTATTGTTTTTGTCATAGATGATTTTTAAAAGTTCTACTAAAGATTTCTTTTTTCTCTATCATATTGGTGTAGGTTTTTCGACATAATAAAAGGGAATTGAAAAGTTTCGACTTCCATGAGTAAATTAAAAGTAATTGATCGAAATATAGGATTAAATAGAAGAAAAAAGAGCGTTCTATCTAATAGGAAAACACATTGAAATACATCAATATTTTGATATTTTATCAATTTTGAGTTCTTTTTCATAATAAAAATACGTCTTTCAACTCCGTCAGTGTTTTATAGGAGACTTATCAATTCAATGGAATCATATTCATTTATTTAGCGTCTTTTATTGAATTTTATAAAAAAAACGTTAAGATAATTTTCATTGAAATGATAGCTTTTGTGAGTACAATTACTTCTAATCATCGAATACATTTTCACTACCATTAAAACATTCTAACACCGTTAAATCTCCTTTTTCGTGATAAATTAGTCTCAATATTTATCTATTATTGATGAAAGAAGTCTAGTTTTTGGAGAGTGTGTGTGTTTATATGAACGAAATCTACACCCGAACGAGAATAAAAGAAAAGAAATATTTTTCACTTATTTATTATGCTATGAACGGTTACACATGTAATTTTCAGTTTATGAAAAGAAATTGAAAGATTGAAATTTGTTTACCCGAAAGTGAACACAACGGTATGAAATTTTACAATAAAGGATATCATCTCTTGCCTATCTTAATTGTAAGAAGAGATTTTGATAAATTTATTAAACTTGATAATATTAGAATTGTACCTTAAGAGAAGAAGCATACAAGAATGTAGTCGGATGATGTATTCTTATTCATCATGTTAGAATTTATCATATTTGATGAAATATTTTCGAAGCGAGGTTGATTAAATTTCTCATTATAATTCATAGCAAGTGTCTGTGGTGTAATGGTATCATAGCTGTTTGTCGAACAGCAGACTCAGGTTCGATTCCTGACTGACACGATATGAATTTTTTTTCTTTTCGTTCACACATACAGTAAATCATTGTCATTCGAAAAAAGAAAACTATAACTATATGTAATTTCATTCTTAGCATTATTGTTGTGCAATTACAAAAAAACATATGTATGATACATAGGTAGCAAACAAATATTGAAGTTCACATCTTTAATACTGTTTAATATTGAATTTGAGATCAAAATATTTTGAATTACTAAAAATGATCGAGAAACCATTTCTTGACAAGAAATTTTCGAATAACATGATGTTAAACTGTATAGTATCGTTGGTGCATGTCGTGGTGAGAGTTGATGTTTTCTGTGCCATATACTAATCGAATTGAAACATTTCTATTTCTTTGCACTTTTTAATCAAGTGAACTGCTAATTATCAATAACTCACATGTATTATGAATTTAGTATGAAAATTTTAGACAGTTGAATAAAACAACTAAGAGTTATTATTTTATTAAAATCTTGTTCACAATAATATAATATCTAAATTTTTATTTGTACACCTTAAAGTCGAGTGTAGACAAAGAACAATTTAGCACATACGACAATCGACCATAACAATGTGCACAGAAAACACTTATAG